TTTTCTATGCATCTTAAACTGTTATATAGAAACATGGCAAGAGTGTGGAGCATAGTTCAGTGAAGCAGTAGTCCTTCTTTCTTAGTCTATAGATCTAGCTCACAGGTCAATTTCTGAATTTTCAAAGAGCAGCTCTGGTTTTTATTGTGTTTCATTTGTCATCTGAACAAATAAATAGGATGGAGTGGGTCCATGTGGTAGTGAAAGAAATTAATGCCCTTACCCACTTCCAACAGGGTACAGTGTACAGGAGGGAGGAAGGAAAGAGGATGATGATGGAATTTTAGAATTCTATTTTTACAACTGATTATAACATGAGATATCCTTTTTGGAGCATTTACTAAGCAGCAAAAGATTTTGTTCTATTGAAATTCTAGACTGACAAATCATTGGAATAAATCACATTGCCTGTTTGAAGAACCTAGAAATAAAATACAGCAGTCTCTGAAGTAAATTAGCAACTGATAAATGTGAATTTAGGTGTCTGTATATATCCTTATTCTTACTCTTACATCTTCTTATGGTTCTGTTGTTTTATTTTGCTGGGTAATTTTGGCACGTAGGTGAGTTCTTTTGGTAAAGCTGCTTAGAATGTTTGATGTGAAGCTGACGGAAGTTTCTACAAAATGGCAAGGGTAAAGAACTGCCCAGCTAAACTATTCTCTCAAATCTCGCTTAGATTTCAAACATCACTGAAAAAGAAGCAATCAATGATCTACAATGTATCTGCTATTTTGAGGAGAGGGAGGAGAAAAGAGAGAAAACATTTTCTAACAACAGCCAATTCATTCTATACAATTTGTTGAAAACAGACCAACCAAATTGCTATTTGTACCACCAGGGCAAAGATTAGTTATCATATGGAATGTTTCTTATGTGCACAGAAACTTTTGAAATTAGCAAAATACACATGCATATGCATTTCAAAATACACGTAGGTTACTCTTAAATGCAGTCTTTGATAAACAAATAGGCACCAAAAGAGAGGTATAGAGAGAAACGTGTCACTCTTTTTTAATTCTCTCCACTGGCGGGGGTGGGCACTGCATAGTTGAGGACTGGGGTGCTTTAACAAATGCCTGTAAGACAAAAACTTTGTGTGCTGCTTTTCTTCTCTTTCAATCATCAATCTTTGACATTTCTTAAGGCTAAGAAAACCCCAAACCATTAGATGTTTAATCTTTGCATACCCTAGTAGTTGTAGGTCCTCTAAAACAGAACCATACTGTTCACAGGTCAGTATCCTTTCTGATGGTCTTTGTCATACACCATTATTTCCAACATAGGATATTTGATAGGATCAACAAAAAGCAATTGAAGACAGTAGGGACCACTATCATGACAGCTGCAGTATTATTTGACAAGGTGATTTATAGTTATTTTAGGAACAATGGCATTTCAGAAAGTGATATTAATTTCTAAAATTCCTTTGCCATGCAGAATATAAAAAATGATTACAGAATGTGCAGAAACAAGCAATGCTCCTTCCAAATAATGAGATATTGGAAATAATGAAGACATGGGAGATAATCAATATTTAAAAATATTTCTTTTAAAAAACTAAAGTTTAGGATAGTTATGTAGTTAGTATACAACAACTTGGTCTTAATAAGTACTAGAAACAAAATTTTATTTTGTGTGGCTAAAGAAATACATACATTTTATAAAACGGACATTTTTGCATTGTTCTGTTAGGTATCATCACAGGTTGCTGCATAATTAGGGTTGTTTTTAATGTAAACAGAGAAACTCACACTTTCCAACTCTGGTATTATCCATCTATTTTTCCTTTCACAGCCCACTGACACAGAATTTTAAGCGTTTAAAGTAGGAGGGAACCTTAGCTTCCAGCACAATATTGTTCATTTTTCACATGAGAAAATCATCCAACAGAAGTTGAATGATTTACTCAGGGTCAGGCCATACCTTGGCAGAATTAGGTCTTATTATTCTTTCTCAAATGCTCTTTTAAAGGTTAAATAGACATTGAGTTTTGAGAATGATTTATTTCTCTTAGACGGATTTCGTTATGGACAAGCAAAACAATCAGCCACTATCTTTCTCTTTTCTATTTGCTGCCTCTAGGCAGCAACCTCATCAAATCCACAACAAAATCCTCAAGATTTCCATATTAACCAACAGAATCATTTTCTTTAGGAAAAATAAAACACTAAATATTTTTTGAATATAAAAGTTTCCGATAAAAAAAATTCTGGCTTTAATCAGATCAAATAAGATAATCAGATTTATACAATTATTTTGATAAAGACAAAAAACAAAAAAACCAACATAATCCTTTTTTCCCCACTCTTACACTTTGAGCAACTCTTTTAAATACTACAAACACTTTTCATTAGGGACTGTTTTTCCCTTTCCCTAGGAAAATGAAAACAGAACAGAAAAATTTTTTTTTGCAGAAATTAAGCATAAGAGGGTAAAATGTGAAGACCGAGAACTGTTACTTAATCAGAAATAAGTTAATAATATTAAATACGAAACTATATATTCCATTTAAATGAGTTATCTTTTTCTTCATATTCATATCACAAAGTAACTTCACTATAGCAGCACTAATTCATTATGTTTTTATTTACTGGTGGACATTACTGGTCTCAATAAAAATATGTAACTTTTCATAAGAAATATTCAAAAGAATCATAAAGTTTGAAAAATATAATTTACCAGAAAGTACCAACATGGGAAATTCTTCAGTTAAGGATGGGAAATTATTAATATTTTTTAGCCTAAATTTAAGCAAAATTCATTCCTAAAGATGAATTTTTAGTGAATTTTATAATGAGTTATTCAGCATGAAAATAAAAGCAGCAAATTCTTTTATGCTTTTAAAATATGTTTAAGAGGATCTTATCTTTTAACAACACCTCTCTCATTTTATAAACAGGACATTATGCTACCAAGTATGGAGTTATTATTCTAAAGTTTAAAGCAATGCTTTACATTTTTAAACCTTATGACATGTTCATAAAATTCAGATACCAATTCATTGAAAAATTCTTCCTCATCCACATTTTTAAAGATATTTACAATTGCACTGGATCTTTTACTCTGGTTGCTTCAATTCATAATTATATAATAACTTTCAGGAATCAAGTATGGGATCTTTCATTTTTCAGGTAATTTTTTCTTGGTGGTCAATAGAAAAGTCATCTCAAAATGCACTCTTGATGGGAATGAAAAGAGAATTATGATCTTTGGGGAGGGGTGCTCAGAAAACTGTTAAAGCAGCTTTGTTTATATTTATAGGAATCGTAATAATGCTAACTTCATTAAAACATTATATTGACCATTTTATATTCTTCCAGCAGAGTGGAGACAGTTTAGTTGTACTTGTAACCTCATAGCGCCCCAATTTTACTCATTTCCGAAATCATCCTAGCACCGTTGGTCCCAAGGACTTCTGACACACTCTTGGTCCTTCAATGAAAAATCAATGCTTTAAACAATCGGGTCTAGAGTAACCTATTTGCTTGGATTTGATGAGGTTGCTAAATGAATGTTACACCTGTCTCGGAAAGATAAAGGCTTCATGCTAATAAAATATTTCAACAGAATTATAGCATACCCTTTTACTATAGTTCTAATTAATACTCATTTGCTCGTATAATGGCAAGGTCTTTGGATGAAGATAATAGTAACGGAATTAGTAAAAATTGACTAAAAGTGATACTTTATTAAAGCCTTTAAATTTGGGCATTTTTCATTATAGAACACAGTTTGTTTAGGATAACACTTGGTTAAATTATTGAATATCCTGCCACTCCTGACTGCATTACTTCAGAAAAAAGACCAATATATTTGGGATGGGAACATAGGAAGACAAGATGGCTAGAAGGGAAGGGAAACTAGTAGGATAAACTGAATATCTGTGTATTTAAAATACACATATATTTGCATTTTAAGTAAATACCAATTTCCTTGGTATAATAATGTATTTCAAATTAAGTGATATATAAACTAGCTCAAGTATGATGGCTAGGTAAAAAAAAGTCACTTAAAATGACAGATCTAAAATTGAACCTACTAGGTACAAGATAGTATATATGTTTTCATCTGTGTGTTTTAAAAAGAATATATATATACATACACATATGCTTTTATATGCAGAGTAACTCTAGGATACACAAGAAATTGATAACATTGGTTGCTACTTTTCACCCTCTACCCATCTGTACTGTTTCCATTTTGTAATATATGTATGTTTTTCCCTATTCAAAAATATTGATTAAAATCTCATTACCAAAATAAATTTAAATGATTTAAAATAGCATGTCAAATTAATAGCAACTACTGATTTTTTCCATTATACATGAAAATATATACTTATACATATATTATTTTTTCTAAGCTCTACCTACTAAATTTGGGTATATTTTCTTTATGACAGAGTTACTGTGATCTGAAAATCCAATTTTCACATGACATTAAGTTGGGAAAAACACATTCTCCCTGAACGTCATTGCTACAGTATGGTGGACTATTGGTTGTCTCAACAGCATGTTAACATACTTATTCTCTTTCTCTGATGGGCTAGCCATTAGCCACCATTTCTCTCGGAAATTCAAGAAATCTTTAAGGAAATTTCAGAAAGATTTTAAGGCCCTTTTCAGGCAGTGATAAGTATTATACCTGTATTATTCTGTAGGCATAGAATCAATGTTAACTTCTCTTTGTATGTTGTCAAAGATGTTTGGTGTTTTAGTAAAGACAGACTTCAAACTAAGTGGTGACTAAGCAAAGCCCTTACATAAAGCTTTAAATAGGATTTCATAAATAGTTCCAATGAAAAACATTTGGAGATAAACAGGAAAAAAAAAAAGCTCACACTTAGGAAAATTATTTTCAGAAAACCACTTAAAATTCAAATTAAGTCCTATCATTTAAAGTATACCATAAACCCAAATTTAAAGGAATGATAATACATACATCAGCTTTCAATGGTAGCTGCTTATTAAAAATGAGCATCTGAGGGTATATTCCAATTTCATCCTCTTCAAATTGTGCAGCTCAGATAAATGTTTATTTTAAGGAAAATATTTGCAAAATTACAATATAAATACATTATTATATTAAGATAGGAGGACTATATAATGTATTCTTATCTATAGATATAAAATTAATGCAGTAAATATAGCACACTCTTGATGAATTGTTAGTACACAGTGTTTCTCAGTAAAGTATTATTAAGCAACAGTTATCTAGTTTTCACATGTACATCTTAGGAAGTTTTTAAGATGGAAGGATACACTAAATCCCCCAATACCCTTTTTAGTTGGTGAAGGTTAGTACTTCCGTGAATTTTGAGATATTGTATTTGAGTTAGTGACTGTTCATAGGTTCCTTGCATTTCCTTAACTTGAAACTTTATTTCTTTAGTCTGAGTGTTCTTTAAATAATGCCATATCAGCTAACCACACTTTTAAATTGAGTATAATATTATGTACTGCATTTTTGTTCATTACTTAAACACATATCAACAAGGAAACAATGACTGAAAATAATTTTTTAATGGACAAACTCCCCAAATTAACTTTCAGGGCATTATGGGGAATCTCAATTAAATATAGTCTCAACTGTAATAAAAATTTGGGTTGGAAATAGTATTTTATTTATTATAGTTCTTAAGACATCAAATGTGAACTCTACTTTAAAATTCTTTGTTAAATATACTGGGATTTGTTTCAAAAGCATCTCCTACTCTTCTCCATTACACTGATTTAATGGAAACCTGTTACTACAACAGTTCCAACACAAACATATGCATGCAAGAGATCACCCTATAGATTCTAACTACATAGTTATTGAAACACATCCCACCTGTCAAGTGGCATAAATGTACATCTTCTATATACAAAAGGTAAAGTGCATTATTAAATTAGTGAACTGACAGATTGTCTGCCTGGACCATATATCTTTCAAATAGACAAATGTGAAATTCTCCTATTAGAACCAATTATTTCAAGAGGTTCCAACTAGCTTTTCCACCCTGTCATTTATTTTTTTGGCCATGCTCTTTAGTGCAAATAAGCTTGTGTTTGACTCAAGTTTCAGGGACATGGCAGTTTGGGGCTTTAACAAGGAAAATTATACAATGTAGCAGAACTTTAATATCTTTATAATACATTGCATCTTTTGCATATAAGCAACAGATTAGTGCTGCTTTCAGTTGCTAGGAGCACACTGCCAACTATCAAGAGGAACCCGTTTCCAAATTTTATACTATTAGCTTATATTACTACAGTTTTGAGCCTGTACCACATTATGCTAGGATTATTATGTGCAAACATCATCAGTGTTTTAGAATTATACAGTGAACTAGTACTTTTGGTTACTAACTTTCATGCTCATTTTTTAACTTCTAGCTTCCAGTTGCCTTAAGAGTTTAATGTCTTCAAGGCAGGGATTCTGTTACTTTGAAGGATACCATGTACACTTGTAGCTCCATGTATGTTACAAATGACAATAAATAAAATGCATATTGCACAGATAAGCATAGTAGCTTATTTTATAAGATACATGGCAATACATGTCCTAAGACCAGAGTTTTGAACTGGATCATATTTAATTATGGCTAATGAGTTCTTGGGAATTTTAAGTATCAAAAATCATAGCATCATCTAATTTTTCAATGATTATAAAAAAATGAAACAAAAGGACTGGCAGAAGGCTTAATAATTTTGGAGTATATTCAATTGCCAGTATATATGCATCAATTTAATTTGCAGCTTTGAGATGGTGAAAACTTTGAAGTATACATACAAGGTAAAAAATCTGGCTGCTTAACTAATTCTTTACTTAAATAATTAATGGAAAAGTAAATTTAATATTTATATACAGTGAGTTAAAGATATTTATCTTTAAGTCTGACATGGTATTGAATGTATGTATACATACATATATGTATATGTGTATATACATATATACATGTGTGTATATATATGTATATATATATAGACACATACTCAAATCTTATCAGACCCAAAAGGAAAAAGGAAATCATTTAGACCTAATGGATATAAATATTTTAGAAAGGAAGACTTTAAGAGAGAGTATACACTCATAGCAATAGAGATAGGAACAATCGAATACTAGAATATTCACAGCTCCAGTTTGCCAAAATCTGACAGGTTGATTATTATTAATAGGCACTATGATGGGCAGCAATAACAATCAGTAGTACAGTAATTCAAGTGCACATCCCTCCTTCATAGACCAAAAACTACTTTTTTAGCAAGCCTACATAGTTATTTTACAGTTAGGACTGTTTAAAAATCCTTGCTACTTTTATAGACTCAACACCCACCATGTGCTATTAACTCTAGTACTAACATTATCTCCTAACCTTCAGTTGTTCCATAGTGATCCAGATGGTCCACAATTATAATGAACTAATGAGATTCCTTCACGCTACTAGAGGAAGTGTGAAATACAATCTGCAAACTAACACTAGTATATATGTCGGGGTTACTGATTGCTTGTTTTAAGTAACATAAACCAATGAAATTAATTTTCTTACTTCATACCATCAAGTTTTCTTAGTGACTTCACATAAATGTACTGGGGGACAAACCTCTGGAAGAAAAAACTGCTGATATAATTTTAAATTACATTTGGCATATAAAAGAAGAGCTACATTCTGATTTGAATCCCTGCAGCCAGCTCTCATCAATGAGAGTGATATTTGGGGGTTGAAATCAGTGTTCAGGCTCTTAAATATGATTAGATGGACTTACTGTGTGGGAGGTGACTAAAGCCAAGATAAAAGACAATAATTTCATTCAGAAGAAAATAATAGCTGAATAGATGAAATTTCAGTCAGTTAATATAGGATGGGTTGGTACACATATAACACTATACCCACTTGTTTAAAAAATTGCTTAGGTGTTGAAAACTTGCTGTGGCACTTCCTGGAAAGTAATTTTTAATACAGGTAAATGGGTGAGTCTTGTGTAAAGTCAGAAAGAGCACCTTGGAAAATGCCTGAATTTTCCTTTCAAATATATTTATAACCAATCTTCAAATAATATTTTTCTCAGATTGGTAATTTGTATTCTAAATTCTTTTTAGAAAAAAAAAAAATCCCCACCCCCTCTGGAATTAAAAAACCTGTGAAATTCAGGTTTATATTGGAAGTGTTGACATGGTTTTAAGGGTAGCAACTGCAAAAGTGCTACTAAAATATATTATTACAGGTATATTTTTACATCAGTTAATTGGTGCACCAACCCTTTTGAAATAGTGTTAAAGAAGAAGCATAAAGTATAACACCTTGAGTCCATGATATATTTTGGGGAAGAAACTGCTCACAATCTTCAAATTAGCATAAAAAGCTAAAACACCAAGATTTCCATAGCAAAGCCATTGGATGAAGCCTCCCACTCAATGTGACATAAAAGTAATTCCCGAAACTTTGGAAAGTCAATAAAAATAAGTAAAACAGTAAGTAGAGGTAAAGAAGGGATTGTAACTAAACTTAGAATAACCAATTAAAACTCTCCCATGGCTTTGATATGGCAACTATAAAATATAGGGTTACCACAAAGTTTGAAATTATAGATTATAGTAACTCTTAAGAAATACTATGACACTGTATTTTTAAGGTTTAATTAGATAATAAGATTTGATCCTTTGATGGTATATTCAGTTATCCAATGGACAATATATGTCTACTTGTACTTTTATAAATAAATATATTTATATATACTTGAGGTTAATTTCTGTTTCTGTGGTAACTGCCCTATGGATAAGCTTAGCAGCTTTTAATGAAGTAGGATTGAAATACTTTTTGGGGAATTTGTTAACTAGAAAGTCACACTTCCATTGAAGTATATGTATCTTTTTTCAGGATTATGTCATAGTGCAATGTAAATCTTAGTTATGGTATTTAGAATGTCACATTTTGTGCTGATTTGCATACTTCAATAGTCTGGAGCAGTTGAAGCAGCTAAACTATTTAGCTCTGGGAAGGCTGGAATTCCCATAAGAATTATAGTGATATTTACGTGTAACATAACATGAGAATCAGACTTCTTGAAGTATCAACTACTAGAGGTATTACTAATAACAAAGGGCCAAAAAAGAGGAAAAACTTCTTCAAATGATAATGGATCAGTACTTTTAGCCAATTTGTGATTTTAAATTTTGCCTGATGGAGTTCAATTTCACTCTAGTCGAGGCATTCTTGTTCTTCACCACTGGCCTTTCTGCCATCCATTCTCTTTTCTTTATGGCTGTTGCAAATTTTCCTCATCTCTTCTTCATACTTGATAAAATTCTCCCCAAACCTTGTCCAAGCTTTGAATGGAACAGTAATAGTATTACGGTAAGGTGGTCTCACCTCACTTACCTTCAGGAAAATTCCATATTTATTAGAGCCCACATCAAAGTAGAACCTTTTATTGTCCACTCTGAAAGAAGTCCCCTCTGGGAGTTCAAGTGGGTCATCGTCTCCACCTCTTCGTTCTTCTATGTCCCCTTCGCCATAATCTTCAATCAGCTGAACCAAGGCATCACGAAACTCAATCATGCCTTGTGCTGGGAGGACAATAGTCTGTTCTTGGCCCAAACTGTGGCCAAAATAACCTATCATGCCAGTCCCCCGCATCATGGTTTGTCTAATCCGTAGGAAGCGACCCCGCTGATTTTCCTTTAGGTCTAGGTAATATTTTCTATTGTCCCTCTCGATATAGTCTGTTTTCAGGACACTGTGAGGATGCTCTTCGGACCCCACCGAGACCGGTGGGGAGGGTGCCGAGTGCTTCTGTCTCCTCCTGGAGCCTTGCTCTTTGCTGTGGCCATGCTCTTGCCGGTGGCCTTTCAGGCCCAGGTGGGCATAGTGCTCGATGAAGTCCCCTAGACAGTCCTTCAGCTCCGCTGCCACAGACAGGGAGAGGGTCAGTTTACTCTTTCTGATGTTGTCCTGCCGGCCTCTACCTATCCAGACTTCGGCTATCTTTAGGAAGCGGCCCCGTGAGCTTTGCTTCACGTCTAGGTAAAACCTCTTTTTCTGGATGTCCACTCGTTTGGAGGCCAGCTCCTGGATTTCGGCTGCGCCCCCGGCCTGATTAGGGGTGACTGAGACCGCGTAGTGGGGGTAGTGGGAGTGCTGGGCCTGGGGATACAGTCTACTCTTGCTTAGGCCAGAACCCCCTACATTCTTGCCTCCGCGGCCGCGGCCGCCGCCGCCTCCCCTTCGCCTGGCTCTTTCCATCTTCAGCTGCAAGTGACAAACAGACACACGGGGTGGGGTGGGGGAGGGGTGTTGAGAACAATCGCAGACGCCCCTCGGCCTGGCCGCCCCCGCCGCCGCCCGGGACCCCCACGTATGGCCCGGCTCCCCCGGCGCCGCAGCGCGGGGCTCCAGCCCCTGCCGGACGGTTGGCGGCGGCGGCGGCGGCGGCGGCGGCGGCGGCGGCTCCAGCTCTGCCCGCGCTTCCCGCATCCCTCCGCCGCCCCCGGGCCCGCACCCGCACGCCGCCGCCGCCCGCCCAGCGCTCCGCTGCCCCCGGTCCCCAGCCGGCGGGCACTCACATCATCTCTGCCTTCACCGCCGCCGCCGATGCCCTTCACGACCACCGCCGCCGCCGCCGCCAGTTCTCGGCCCCTCTGCTGCAGCCGCCGCCCCCCGCCTCCTCCCCCGCCGCCGCCGCTCGCACTGCCCCCCACCGGAGCAGCCGGGCAGGGGCATCGCCCGCGGCGCCCACCGCCGCCGCCCCTCCTGCGGCCGCTGCGGGGGCCGCCGCCTGGCTTCGGACACCGGCCCCACACCCGCCGGGAGGGGAGGGGAGGGAAGGCGGGGAGAGCGACGACGGGGGGCGGGCGGTGGACCCCGCCTCCCCCGGCACGGCCAGCTGAGGGGAAGAAGAGGGTCTCCGCTCTTCTTCAGTGCGCACCCTGACGGAAGCCTGGCGCGTGGGGTGCAGCAGGAGTGCGAGGGGACTGGACAGATATGAAGATGGGAACGAGGACCGGGTGGCGGGAGTGTTCTCACTTCTCCGGATTCCGCCGGGATGCGGGACTCTGGCGGCCCAGCGGCACCTGCAAGGAGACTACACTTCCCGAGGGGCTTAGCGGCAGCGTGGGCCTCTGCGCATGCGCACCGCGACGTGCTGGGCGGGGCTAGATGGGCTGTGGAGGGAGGGCTGCAGCGCCGCGCTGAAAGGCTAGCCGGGCCGGGGGCGGGGGAGGGGGTGGGGTCGGAGCGGGGGCGGGGCCGGGGCCGGAGGGGCGGGGCGGTTCGGTCTTCCGGAGCTGATGTGTACTGTGTGCGCCGAGACGCGCAGGCTTGTACTCTGCAGCGCGGGAATAAACTTTGGTGAATTGGTGTCTAGCCTGGATACCTGGGTTGCAGGTCCTGTTTGTGGTGGAGCTCCACAGTCATCCGGCTGAAGGAGAAGACCTGTTGGACTGGCTCTTCTCAGGGTAACTTGTCTTCCCACTCTCGTTTTCCGGCTCCCTGCCCGGGGTATCTATCATGCCAGGCTTCTGAGACGTGGAGGTGTTTGGGCCCGCGGAGCAGGCGCCTGCGTTGTGTTTGGGAGATTCCAGAAAAACGGACATTCTCCCTTTCCCTTCCCCCTCTGGAGCAGCCAGGAGGGGTCTCTCGGAGCTTCCACCATTCAAAAAGTGCTTCTACGCCCCTCCCGGCCCCAGCCTGATGTTTACCCTGCGCGCTTAGGATTGCTCTCTTCCAGTACGGCCTTTATTATGGGAGAAACTGAGCCACTCCATGTCTGCACAGCAAAGTCGAGGGAGATAACCTGCAGTCTATTATTTAGCGAGTGATAATGGATTTTTTTGAGTTCAAGTCACTCAGTCACTAATGGATTTTTTTTCTTTTTCTTTTTCTGGTTGAATCTCAGTTGTTTGGCTAGGTTTGATATGAAAAATACTACTCCCTATTGAAGAAGGTAATGTAATTCTTAGGATGCTAACATAGGGGTCTGTATGTCGGAGTACTTCAGGCTTGTATGGTTTGGTACATTTCTTTCTAGGGGTGGGAGATTGGGATAAGTAGGACAGTTCAGATCTTGATGTCATTGAATAGTGGTGTCGACCTAAGAGGAAGAGGCTGGGGCACGAAATTATAATTTAAACAGTTTTCTTGAGCTAAAATGAGTACAGCTGCCCAGGACTCACTTCCCAGTTGCTTTGTGGAGTGCTCCTTCAGCCTTAGTTACAAGCGGGTTTTTAAAGGCGAAGGGAGGGAGTGGGCTGAGACAAAGTTGGCCAGGAATTGTTACTGGTTTACAGAGATACCATTGCTTAGTGATTGGCTGTACACTGTAACTCATAGAGTATGAGTTATCGTGTCCAGAATATGGCCTTTTATGGCTACTTGGTGTCAGTTTAGAGCCCACATAGCAGGTGGACTTCAAGAGATAATTATCCAGCTCAAGGAGGGAGTGAGATGGGACTGTCTTTTCATTCTAATGCCTCTCTGGGAGTGATAATTTAAAGGGCCTTGCATTCTTCAGATAAATATTTATTTTCTTCTATTTTTTTTCCCACAGCGATCTCCCTTTATTAATCCAACAAATGTATATTAAGGACTGCTCTAGGCACTAGAGATACCAACAATGAATAAAACAGACAAACATCTCTCTGCTTTTGGAGCTTGCATCTTAGGGGAAGGAGACAAGCAAAAAGTAAAATATATAGGATGACAGAAGGTGGAAATGGAGAATAAAAAGGAAGGAGGGATGAAGAATGGGTGTGTGTGGTGGGTGAGGGGCTATAGGGAGCTGCAGTTTTACAATAAGTGGTCTGGGAAGACTTCACTGAGAAGGACGTTTTTCAGTCCAGAGCTCAAGGAAGTGAGAGAACTTACCTTGAGTTTCTCTGGAGGAGAAGAAAGTACAAAGGCCCTGAGGAACTTGCCTCCTTATATTCAGAGAGCAACTTAAGAGGCCTAGTGAGCTGGAGGAGAGCAGAGAGGAGGTCAGAGATCAGGCCAGAAAGGGAAGCGGGGCAGAATGTGAAGGACTTTATGGACTATTTTGAAAACTGAGGCTTGTTTCCTGAAACTTGAGGGTCCTATCTGGGAGTGATGGAAGACAGTGACAGATCATAAGGCATTAGATTCTCCTAAGGAGCATGCAGCCTACATCCCTTTCATGTGCAATTCACAATAGGGTTTGTGCTTCTATGAGAATCTAATGCCTGCTTGCCTGATGCTCACTTCCTGCTGTGTGACCTGGTTCCTAACAGGCCATGGACTGGTACTCATCTGTGGCTGAGGGGTTGGGAACCTCTAGCCCAGACCAATGTTAGGGAGCTTTTCCCCCATGTTTTCTTCAAGTGATTTCATGGTTTTGGGTCTTACGTTTAAGTCTTTAATCCATTTTGAGTTGATTTTGTATGTGGTGAGAGATAATTGACTACTTTCATTCTTCTGCGTATGGTTATCCCGTTTTCCCAACACCATTTATTGAAGAGTCTGACCTTTCCCCATTGTGTATTCTTGGCTTTTTTGTCAAAAATCAGTTGGCTATAAATGTGTGGTTTTATTTCTTGGCTCTCTAGTCTGTTCTATTACCTATATGTCTCTTTTTATGCCAGTACTGTGCTGTTTTGATTACCAGAGTTTAGTATATTTTGAAGTTAGGCAATCTAGCTTTGTTCTTTTAGCTCAAGATTGCTTTGGGTATTCAGCATCGTTTGTGAGGAGAATGTTTTCAAGTTTCACCCATGTTGTGACAGGTATCATAACTCGATTTCTTTTTATGGCTGAATAATATTCCCCTGTATATCATATTTTATTTGTTCATATGTTGATGGATACTTAGGTTGTTTCCACCTTTTGTCTATTATGAATAATGCTTCTATTAACATTGGCATACAAGAATCTGTTTGAGCCCCTGTTTTCAGTTCTTTTGGAAATATACCTACGAGTGGACATACGGTAAGCTTTTGGCTTAGCTTTTTAAGGAACTGCTAAAACTATTTTTCCATGGGAGCAGTGTACAAGTGTTCCAGTTCTCCATATGCTCACTAAAACTTAATTTTCTTTTTTAAAAAGTATAACTATTCTAGTAGGTGGTGGGAAGTGATATCTTAGTGTGGTTGTGTTTTGTATTTCTTTAATGACAAATGATGTTTAGCATCTTTTCATGTGCTTATTGGCCATTGTATATCTTCTTTGGGGAACTGTTAAGTCCTTTGCCCATTTTTTATTTGAGTTTTTTTTCCTGTTGTATTGTAGACAATCTTTATATATTCTGAATATTAAACCTTTATTGGATATATGATTTGCAAGTAATTTCTCCCATTTTATGGGTTTTCTCCACTCTTTGATATTGGTCTTTGATTCACAAAGGTTTTAAATTTTTATAGAGTGCAGTTTATCCATTTTTTCTTTTGTTGCCTATGCTTTTGGGGTCATATCTAAGAATTTGTTCCCAGATCCAAGGCCATGAACATTTTCTGCTATGTTTTCTTTTAATAGTTTTATAGTTTTAGTTTTTCTGTTGGAGTTTTGAGTTAATTCTTATATATTATTTTGATACATTTTGAGGTTTTTAGCTATATGGTGTGAGGTAGGGATCCAACTTCACTCTTTTGCATGTGAATATCCAGTTGTCCCATCATCATCTCTTGAAAAGTTTATTCTTTCCCCACTTAGTGGACTTGGCATCCTTGTCAAAAATCAACTGGTTGTAAATCTGTGGATTTACTTCTGGAATCTCAATTCGATTCCATTTTATTTATGTTTGTCTTTATGCCTGTACCACACTCTTTTGATTTCTGTAGCTTTGTAGGAAGTTTAGAAGTTGGGAAACATGAGTCCTCCAACCTTATTCTTCATTTTCAAGATTACTTTGGCTTTTTGGGGTCCCTTGCAATTCCGATGAATTTGAGGATCACCTTTTCCATTTCTGCAGAAAAGGCTTTTGGACTTTTGGTAGGGTTGCATTAAATCTGTAGATAACTTTGGGTAGTATTGACATCTTAACAATATTAAGTCTTTCTATGCATGAACATGGGATATCTTTCCATTTGTTGGTGTTTAATTTCTTTCAGCAGCGTTCTGTAGTTTTTAAGCATATTTGTTTTTTATCTCCTTGGTTAAATTTATTCCTTGGTATTTTATTCTTTTAGCTGCTATTGTAAATGCAGTTACTTTCTTAGTTTCCTTTCAAATTGTTCATTTCTGGTGTATAACAACAGCTGATATTTCAATGTTGATGTTGTACTCTGAAACTTTGTTGAATTTATTTATTAGATCTAGTGGCTTTCTTTGAGATTTTTATATAGGATTGTGTCACCTGTATATACAGATAGTTTTACTTCTTCCTTTCCATTATTGATGCCTTTTATTTATTTTCCATGTCTAATTTCTCTGGCCAGAACTTTCAATACAACGTTGAAAAGCAGTGGTGAAAGTGGATATCCTTGTCTTATTTCCTGTCTTACGTGGACAGCTTTCAGTCTTTTACCATTAAGTATGATGTTAGCTATGGGTTTTCATAAATGCCTTTTATCATGTTGAGGAAATACCCTTTTATTCCTAGTTTTCTGAGTGTTTTTATCATGAAAGGGCGTTAGATTTTGTCATATGCCTTGTGTCAATTGAGATGATCATATGGTGTTTTTCCTTCCTTATCTTAATGTGATGCATTATATTAATTTTCTTA